GACAAACCACAAGACAATGACTTCATAATGTCTCAGTTAGAATACATACAATATAAGGACAAGAGACACTGAGTAGTAAATTGTCACCTCACCCCTTGTCTATGTGTGCCCCCCTTAAGTTCTCCCTCTCAACACCTTTACTGATCATAACATTCTATGACACATTACATACAAAGACACAAATACTATAGAACACCTAAAGTAGTTTTACTTCTTTTGCTTTTCATCACCAGACTCTTCTGGGACATTGTATTCATCCATATCAGCTGTAACCCATGATGGATGTTTGCCAGCTTTGCTCAGTAGGGGTGCAGGGCCTGAATTGTCCTTGGAGCCTTGTCTTTCAAACTGTCTTTTTTCTGATTTAGAGTCTCAATCTCTTCTGTCTCTGACATCTTTCTTCTTCATTGAGGTTTCAATATCAGTTAGTTTATCATCATCACAAGTAGGAATCTGTAAACTTCTGTTGTTTGACATTGTTAGGGTTTTGTGAGAGGAAGTAGTGATAGGTAATTAAGTGTAGTGATACTGAGTCTGGGTGAAAAGATTGATCTGACTTTATGCACTTTAAGATTCAGAAAAGTGCAATCTCACATGTAAAGTACTACCACTCCTTTGCTTGTTACTTACTAAAGTCTTGTACAATAAAGTAGAAACATTGCATGCTACTCAATTAAGTTACTAAAGTGCTTCAACAAAACGTGCAGCAAACTTTCTATGAATGGCTGGAAGGGTTATACAACATTGCAACTTTGTGTACATACAGGCTGGAAGTATGGCATATATGAACTAAGCATATAAGTAAAGCATATACAAGTATTAATGCTAATATTTACCCACTAACTGTGAATGTATTAATGCCTTGCAAGGAGGACACACTTTTTATGGAGAATACTGGTCTTTGTCTTTAAGTGGGGATTGCATTTATGGACTCCAATACATACATAATATACATTGCACAGATGAAAGAGAAGTGTGAGGTTGCCAGTGCTTAGCAGGCTGGCATAAACTAGACTAAGAAACAGTGTTAACCCAAAGTGTTCATAGTAGTTTTGCATTGCTTGAGTTCTCAACCTCTCAGGCTCAACTTTATCCATTTTGTAGGCACAGTGGCCCATATGCTATTTGTATCAGTCCTTGTATGCATACTCAATGCAGCATTGTCTGAAGCTACACTGTATCAGCTAAATTCTCACCTATGCTTGTACACTAGGCAAACACCTTACTTTATTTAGAATCCTGGATTACTGTTCGAGTAAACATAAGGTTGGGAAAACATAAACTCAACCAACCTGTCACATCAGTCACAGCACAGCCACATACTCCTTTTGGAAGGACCCTACGGCAAAAATTTCTAGGTCAGAAAAAATTGACTTTGTTTTATTGGCTCTAGCAAGTTCAAAACTTATTCAGATACAATTATTAATGTCTAAAGTTAGTTTTTAAACAGTTATATAGTGTTTGTTCAACTTTCTAAGTGTTTGGAAAAAATTACTTTAAAAAATGCTGACAAATGTATTATTATTATTAATATTACATAACTTTTGGTATTATATAAGCGGCAAAAATCTGGGTCGAAAATTTTCAAGTAGTGCTCAAACCCATAGAAATGCAATTTTAGACCATTTTAACAAAAAAAGTTTTCTTAGGAAATAAAAAAATTTGTACTCAATATTTTTGAAAAATAAAAACATACATTTGTAGCTACAGATGTCCTCTACAATTCTATGTTGCCCAAATATTCATTTGAGGTTATTTGAGGAAGTTATTTCGTCCATTATTGTATGGCCCAAAAGAGGCTAGTACTGCCGCGTCACAGTTGGTTGAGTTTATATTTTCCCAACCTTAGTAATTTAAGTTCCACGTGAGGCGTGGAAAAGTCAATCAACGAATCAATGATCTGCATTCCGATCCCACGATCGAGTAAAGTTTCATACCCCCAAACTAGGAAGGCAACAACAGCAATGAGTGCGAGCGTTGAACAATTGCAACTTGCAAAGCTCGGCCCATGTATCCTTCCTCTCCATCGCACGGCCTCGCTCAGCGCCGCCGTAATGCTAGCTTGCATTGGCCAGTCATCAACTCACCTCCTCGCTTATTGTTTTGCTAGGGAGAAACGTACTTGAATTCCGGAGGGTTTCCCGTATATGGGCACCGCTAAAGGCCATGCGACGGCTCTGCACGATTTAACCTTACCGTACAGCTGCTTCCTTCCTTTTGTTTGCCCAAGCGGACCCAGTGCCAATTGTCCATCTCTGTTTCTGGCTGTGGACATGGACGACTTAAAGTGAGATGAGCAATTATGACTTGGCTCGGTATACTCTTCCTTGGTATCCTACTCCATACTTTTTCTACTGAGGAGACGACGATTCGAGACTTGACTCCGCCACACGACCCTGCCACCCGACAGCATATCTCAAGTTTTCTCCCGTGTTTAGTTGCTTGAGGCAAAGCTAGAGACGGGATCTACTATACGAGTCATAACAACGACGAAGCGTAACTCCGAGCCCATTGTCTGCCATGTCTGTCGCATACACATCCACGAGCTTCGGCACATCCGCAACAACATCTACTCCCTCAGGCCCCGCGCGTCACCAGCGCCATTCTTCTAGCTCTTCTCGATCTTCTACTACGTTGGCTGGTCCAGCTGGTCAACTTCCGTTCCCCGCAACTGCCGCTCGTTCGCCCAGACGAAACTCGGAAGCAGAACGCATGATGCGTGCACAATATGACGCAATTGGCGCGTTTTTCGGTGGTGGACGTCCTACTGCGGAACGTAACGAACCACGCGAGCAACCTCAGACTGCAAGTGCACGACCCACCCCGCCTGAATATGATACACGTAGCGAGGCCGATTCATTACCAACGTACGTTAAAATTGAGGAGTACGACGCTGCGTTTAATCGCAAGCTCTTCATCTATGGTTTCCGTACGTGTAATGTTTTCTTAACATATTCGTTAAACGCAATCGCTGACTTTTCGCTATTCACATATAGTCTTCTTCCCACTTTGGATAGTCGGGATTATCGCACCATTCGTAAAGCCATTGCACGATCCAACACGCGATAACCGATCGAAGGAAGACCAAGAGGTGGACTATGCGAGTATGCGAACCGTCGAGATGCGCTGGGCCAAGCGTTGCGCTGCAGCACTTCTAGGCTTCATCATCCTTGTTATTGTTGCAGTCGTTGTTGGCGTCACTGTTGCGAAGCAACATTGAGCGTCTATTATCGACCTGCCCGAATTAGCCGGGGCAGAAAAAATCCATCATGGTTGCTAGTGGATGTCATTGATTGTTAAAGACTTTTCTGTGTATTATAACCCATTCTACTTCTACCCCTGATCCCTGTCATCCCCTGGCACTTCACGACTACCTTTAGATCCACTCCTTCTATGTTTTCTCATTTTACTTTTGCGTCGCCGACTGGTTCCTTGCTCGCATCAAATTCCTGTACACTATATCGTTATACCACCTTGTACTCATTCATACCATGGACTTACGTTAAGCGATGCTTTACGAATTGAATTGAAGTTACATTTTTTTTTAATAAACATTACCCTGTAGTAAGCACGTAACTGAATTGGATGGCATGAGTGCAACGAAGTTTTGTTGGCTGCGTCTTCTAACTCTTCAGGTGAAAATCTTGTCATTCCGCAGAGAGTTAACTGAGTCTATATGACTAGGCTTAGTGAGGGCAGGCTCGAAGCTACTATCCGTTTGGTAAAGTGCGATTACAGTGTAAGGCGAATAAATGGGCTACATAGCCTAGTATACATCAAAGAAGGCTTGCACAGGTGGGTGATCACAGTTTTGGACGTCAAATGACAATCACTTGCAATTGCCTTCAAGTTAGCCCCCAGATCGTCCCCGAAAACGCAGGGACTTGCAGAAGACATTTGGCAAGTTGGACCTGTGAAGCGCAATCGTATTGCATAAGAGGCTGTGCTTTACGTTTGATTTTAGAGAACAATTTTGATCTGCATTCAACCACCATCACACCCTTGAGAGTGCTCCGGGCATGGACGGAATCACTACAGCTTGTATGTAACATCGTGTTCCTCCGCCCTCCACACGCAACCCCATTGTAGTGTTTGCTGCCCAACGAAAGGTAGTAAGTACCCTTATTACACATTAACCTCCGAGCTTCCCAGGATAAAAAATGTACGTAGTATTAACACCAGGATAGAATCAAAAACTCACTGGATTATTTTCAGATTCCTCCATTCCCAAAGTGTCCGAGGACTGGAGAAACCGAGGTGTTGTAGAAGGCATCCGGTAGGGCTTGGAACAGTTTTCCTGATCCCCTGTATTCTGACTAAAATGAAGGCCGGAAGGAGCATATGCAATATCACAAGCTGGCTCTTGATGGCTGGGAACGTTTCCAGCAATCCGGAGAAAAAGACGAGCTAGACAAGTGTATTGCTCTCGAACGCTCCGCGATAAGCCTTCTCCCAGACGGGCATCCTGATTGCTCAGTTTTTCTGTTTCACCTCTCCTTCTTTCTAAACGAGCGATATGGCAGATGGTGGGAAATGGAAGACTTGGAGGATGCTATTGTGTTGGGACGTGCTGCTCTGACTCTTCGCCCTGAGGGTCATCCCGATCGGCCTGTTTCAATGAGTAATCTAGCAAACTCCCTGTATTCTCGGTACGAGAAAAGTGGACGGTCAGAAGACCTCGAAGAATCGATCGAAATGGAGCGCGCCGCTCTGATCCTTCGTCCTGACGGTCATCCTGATCGGTCTACCTCACTAGGCATCTAGCAAGTTCCCTGTACTTTAGATTCTACCAAAGCGGACGGTTAGAGGATCTTGAAGAATTGATTGAACTGGAACGTGCTGCTCTGACCCTTTGTCCCGAAGGTCATTCGGATCGATCTATGTCATTGGCAAATCTAGCGAGTTCTCTGTACACTAGATACCAGAAAAGCGGTCAGCCAGAGGATATCGAGGAATCGACAAAACTACACCGCGCTGCTCTGATTCTTCGTCCTGAGGGTCATCCAGACCGAGCTCGTTCATTGGCCGATCTAGCATCTTCCCTGCTTGTCAGATACGAGCTAGACGGACGGTCAGAGGACCTGGAAGAATCGATCGAACTGAACCGTGCTGCTCTGGTTCTTCGCCCCGAAGGCCATCCCGATCGGTCTCATTCATTGGCCAGTCTAGCAGGTGTCCTGCGCGTGAGATACGAACAAAGCGGACGGGTGGAGGACCTTGAGGAATCAATTGGACTGGACCGTACCGCTTTGACTCTTCGTCCTGAGGGCCATCCGGATCGAGCTCATTCATTGGTTAATCTAGCAGCTTCTCTACGCATAAGATACATACAAAGTGGACGGTCCGAGGACCTAGAAGAATCAATCAATCTCGGACGAGCCGGCCTGACTCTTTGTCCTGAGGGTCATCCCGGCAGGCCTCGTTCATTAGCCAATCTGGCAAGTGTCCTGCTCCTTAGGTACGAGCAAAGTGGACGGGCAGGGGATCTTCAAGGATCAATTGAACTGGAGCATGCTGCTCTGATTCTTCGTCCTGAGGGTCATCCGCATCGGTCTACTTCATTGGCCAATCTAGCAGTTGCTCTGCGTTTTAGATACCAGCAAAGCGGAAAATCGGAGGACCTTGAAGAATTGATCGTACTGGAACGTGCTGCGCTGATTCTTTGTCCAAAAGGTCATCTGCATCGCCCCCTTTCATTGACCAATCTAGCGTCTTCTCTCCGCGTTAGATATGAGCAACGCGGACGGGTAGAGGATCTTGAAAAATCAATTGAACTGAACCGTGATGCTCTGATCCTTCGTCCTGAGGGTCATCCGGACCGGTCTATGTCATTGGCAAATCTGGCTGGTGTTCTGCTCCTTAGATACCAGAAAAGTGGACGAACAGAGGATCTTCAAGAATCGATCGAACTGGAGTACGCTGCTCAAAATATCCGTCCCGAAGGACATCCGGATTTGTCTCGATCATTGGGTCTAGCGGGCTCCTTGGCCACGAGATACGAGCGAAGCGGATGGTTAGAGGATCTGGAAGTATCGATCGAATTGTATCGTGCTGCTCTGAGCCGTTATCCTGAGGGTCACCCGGATCGGTCTATGTCATTTAGCAATCTAGCGAGTTCCTTGCGCGAGAGATTCAAGCAAAACGGACGGTCTGAGGATCTTGAGGAATCAATCGAACTGGAGCGAGCCGCCCTGAAACTTCGTCCTGAGGGCCATCTGCTTTGGACTCGTTCATTGAGCAATTTAGCTGTTTCACTGCGTGTTAGGTACGAGCAAAACGGACGGCCAGAGGACTATGAAGAATCAATTGAACTGGAACGCGCTGCTCTGAGTCTTTATCCTGAGAGCCATCCAAATCGACCTATCTCATTGGCCAATCTAGCGGAGTCGCTTCGCATTCGATACGAGCAAAGCGGGCAGACAGGGGATCTTGACGAATGCATCGAACTGCACCGCGCTGCTCTGACTCTTCATCCCGAGGGTCATCCGTATCGACCTTACTCATTGGGTAACCTATCGATTGCCCTATTCACTAGATATCAGCAAAGCGAACGGCCAGAGGATCTTGAAGAATCAATTCAACTGGACCGTACTGCTATGATTCTTTGCCCTGAAGGTCATCCTGATCGATTCCTTTCATTAAACAATCTAGCAGCTTCTCTGTATTCTAGATACGTACACAGCGGGAGGCCGGAGGATCTGGAAGAATCGATTAAGCTGAACCGTGCTACCCTGATACTATGTCCTGAGGGTCATCCACATCGATCTAGGTCCTTGGTCGGTCTCACTTATCCATTATTCTCCCGATTTGAACGTTATGGACATAGGCATGATTTTGAAGAGTGTGTGCAACTATTAGAACAAGCCACTGGACATAGATTCTCCAGTACATTGGAGCGCCTGAGGGCTGCGCGACGATGGGCAACACTTACGCGATCGCATGGCCATCAGACCACTCTCCGAGCTTATGGGGCAGTGATGTCGTTGTTACAGCGAACTCTCACTATCAATCCCACTCTCCATGCTCGGCATGACTTTCTTCGTAGAAATCAAGATGGGGCTTTGGCTGTGGAGGCAGCCTCCAACGCCATTGAAGAGGGTAAACTTGGTCAGGCAGTGGAGCTGCTGGAGCAGGGAAGGGCATTGCTTTGGTCACAGCTGCGTGGTTTCAGGACCCCCCTCGACCGGCTTGCGGGGACAAATAAGGAGCTTGCCGACAAGTTCCAGAACGTTAGCCGCCAGATGGAAGATCTCGCAACATCACCGAAGGTGCTTATTTCCGGCTCAAGCTTGGCTCTTGCGCGGGACGTGCAAGATGGGCAAGGATCTTTTGACAAGATGTTAAAGCAACAGAGGAAGTTGTCAGAAGAGCAAGAGAAGCTGATAGATGATATACGGCTAGTCCCGGGGTTTGAGGACTTTCTCAAGCCTTCACCGTTTGAAATGCTGCGACTCGCAGCTTCGGAGGGTCCCGTCGTCGTGGTAAACCACTGTAAATATCGGTGTGATGCACTCATTATTGTCCCTGCTGGGAATGATCCGCCAATCTCCTGCATTACGCTGGATAATGATTTCTATGAAGGATCCTCCAAGCTATGTCACGAACTTGTAGAAACTCGCATACAGAATAGGCCCGGCTCCCTTGTGTACAACGAGAAGCTCCGCGAATCGATGAAGATGCTTTGGGACAAGGTCGTTTCCAAAGTTGTCCATAAGCTCAAGGAACTCGGGTTTGCCGAAGGGTCACGCATATGGTGGTGTCCGACATCTGTCCTGTCGGTACTTCCCTTTCATGCGGCGGGTCCATATCGTTCTACGGACGGAACTATGAAGTATTTATTAGATGACTACATTTCATCCTACACGCCAACACTTGGAGCCCTCATCAATGCACGATCCCCCGATGATGATGGACGTGATCCGGAAATTCTTATCATCGCGGATACCAAATCTCTCGACTCAACCAGGATAGAAGTTAATGCTGTCCGACAGCGCATTCGCATCTACGAGACACAACCTAAAATACTCCTTAACATTAAGGCGTCGCAGAAGGCAGTGATAAAGAGCCTGCAGAATGCCACATGGGTCCATTTTGCTTGTCATGGACACCTGGACAAGGAGCCCTTTGATGCTTCATTCAAGCTATCTGATAGTGGTTTGACGTTACTTGACATTGTCAAGGCAGACCTACCGAATGCCAAGTTCGCATTTCTCTCAGCCTGCCATACTGCTGAGCAAGCGCATTTTGGCATATATGATGAAGTACTTCACTTAGCAGCAGCGATGCAGTTTTGTGGGTTCCGGAGTGTGATCGGCACAATGTGGGAGCTGTACGATCCAGACGGGCCTTCTTTAGCCAAGGGTGTTTATGAGTATCTTGCTGAGAGTGAGGAGAACAGAGGGAGGCATAAGAGGGCAGCTGCAGCACTTCGGGAGGCTGTCATGATGCTGAAGACCAAGGAAGGGATTCAGACCGAGAGATGGGTTAATATGATACACATCGGTGCTTGACTTGTACTACATTTTCGCCTTAACCGTATTTCGATGATTGTAGTTGATCCTGTGCAAGCCCCAAATTCAGAAGCGACCATTGTCAGAAATATCAATGTTTTTACCTGCAGGATCTTGACACACTGACCTAACAGCAAAAAGAGACTACTTACTTATGCAACTGCAACAACGCTAGCAACTCCTCGTCTAGAATCACGTGATTGAATTGACTTCCTCAGATGCGAACTTCCACGCCAACTGCAGCGTAACTTCGTTTCTGCTCACAGCATCACGAGGACACAGGCTCGTCACAACTGGGGCTTCTTGGGCAGAAAATTACAAATATGTTTAGAGCAATTGACGGTTGCGGTTGAAGAAGATCGCTTCTTGCTTGCCGTCCATGAGGTCACCAATGGAAGAATCTGCTGGCCGCGCCGCTGCCCATACGCCGCTTAAGAGGCGGTATTTAAAACCGATGTTCCCCGTCTGTGTGCTGGCATTTTATTACTCTGTCTCGGGCCTTCGAGTTCACCGTCGGTATGGGGACAGCAAGATTGTTTACTGGAGTTGCACTACTGGCTCAGATCTTGCAAGCTTCAGCACAAACATGGTCTGTCTCAATCATATCGCGATAGCAAAACTCAATCACTAAATATTCCGATTGAAGGTGTGGAAAGCATTACATGGCAAACCAGTCGGTAGTTGAGCCCGGTGGAGAGTTCCCAATCCCGGAATTGTCGAAAGAACCGCTCCTTGTGTTTCGCTGTGCACCTGCTATTCAACCGTATCTCGCTGACGACTCCTCTGGAACGATTATTATTGATACTCTGGTCACAAATGTCAAGATAGCAGATACAACTCCAATACAGAACGTCGATGCAGCAGTTTCTGGATTGCATGTGTCGATCTCTGTAAATGGGCAGACGCTCGCTAACGGACCTGTTTCGCTGAATGCAAGCGCGCATGAGTTCACGCTCCCACTTGGCTCTCTTAAACCCCAGAGCGATGCTTTCAATGTGGAATGTACCGCGCGAATGGAAGATGGGCAGACGTTCAAGACGAGCACTACTCTGCTGAGATTGCCGAACAGAACGGATGGTGGGAGCGTCACGAAGATGGATTTCCGGACGGGAGCGATGCTTGTTCAGAATTCGACTACGAAAGAATGGGAGACTGTCTTTCCACTTGGTTTCTACACGACTTTCGACGGGTACCTGGCGAACAACCTGAGTGTTCTTAATGATCTGAAAGACATGGGGTACGTCTGTTAATTTATGTATTATGATCTATCAGACAATTTGAATTTTCATTCTTTTTCAGACTCACAATTGTAAGTTACTCGATTGATATGCGATATACAAGATGTTGACTTTCAAAGGTCCACCCTGTTCCAACCTTCGACAACATGACTGCATTTGAAGAAGTCCTCGACCGTATGGAAGAAGTTCGGTTGTACTTGATGTATGACATGCGTTTGTACGTTCTTAATATATATTTCCAATTGCCTCTTCACTGACTATTGCGTAGCACGTATATGAATGCCACTTCCGTCACAGAACAAGTAAACATGATCAAGACGCGAAAGAACTTACTCCTCTGGTACACAGGAGACGAACCAGACGGAACGAGCGACCCACTCAACGCTACGCAAGACACGTACAACCTCATCAAATCTCTCGACGGTTCATACCACCCCGTCTCTCTAGTCCTCAACTGCGAAAACTATTTCTTCCCAGAATATATCCGAGGAGCGGACGTGGTGATGCAAGATACGTATCCGGTTGCGATTAATGCGACGCTCTCCGTTGAGTGGCATACGCCGTGTACACCGGATTTCGGTGATTGTGGATGTGATGATTGTAAGGGGAGCTTTGCGGATATCTCGGACCGGATGGATACGTTTGCGTATCGACTTGACGTGCTTGGTGTGAGTCGGACGAAGACTGTTTGGGCGGTTCCGCAAGCTTTTGGTGGAAGCGAGTAAGTTTCACTTTTCATCTAATTCTTATAATTGTTGCAGTGTCTGACTGTATGTAATAACAGGTATTGGGCCCGCGCTCCTACCGGGAATGAATGGCTTGTAGAAAGTGTCCTTTCTATTAACCACGGTGCTACAGGTCTGCATTTATACCATCCACCTTCCTGATACCCATTTATTAATTCAACTGCTTTAGGCATTGTACCATGGGACGATCCCACTCCCACAGACATCAAAGACGCAGCAACAGCACTCGCACATGCCCTTCCAACGATCAAATCCTTCATCTTCGACCCACACCACACATTTTCATCCATCCTATCCAACAACAACTCCAGTCAGAATCTGAATGGTAGTCAAGTAGACATAGGGTTGTGGACAGTCAACCAACGCACGCTCGTGCTCGCTACGAACATGGCTAATAATTCCGCGACTGTTGAGGTCGAATTACCTACTCGTGCGAGTGGGAGTGTGATGGAGATTTTGAATAGTGGTGGGTCGGTACAGGTTGCGAATAATGGGAAGAGCGCTATGATTTCACTGGATGGCTTGAGCTCGTTTGGGGTTACTGTGGGCTAAAAGTTGCAGTTGATTATCCTCAACAGGCAGGCTATAATGTGAAGGCTGCCGTGTCACAGTCTGTTCGTTGTTGTTGTTGTTTTTCTTGGCCTTAGTGGATTGTACCATAGTGGTAGTGGTGACTTCAGACTTGGTTACAGAAATCGGATCAGCTAAAACTGGCAATGAACAGCGACATGGGATGACGAAATTTTGCTATTTCTTGCTTTCAGATACATGACCAGACGAAAAACTTCCTTTACCACGTCGGGCACTATTACTATTCAATATGCCTTCTGCATTTGTGAGATGACGAAGTCAGAGAACGTAACGGAACTCGCGGTTCTGGCGGTCCGTAAGGTCGAGGAAGGACCTGTCGACTTTCTTCTCAATAATTTCACCATGCCCGTCCGTGATCTTGACCCAGACATCATCGTACGTGTCGTCTGGAGGTTCGTTGTCACGCCTTTTATTCTCTTTGTTGAGCATGTAGCGCTGAAGTAGGAGAAGTAGACCAGCCGCCGTGTAGCATATGGAAATGATGGCCCATGGGACGTGATAGCTACAGTTAAAAGACGAAACAAAAGGGTACAGGCGTTCTGAGTGTCAGTTAAAAAGTTAGAGAAAGGTCGGCATACCGAGGTGCAAATTGATCAGCCCACATCTGTGGACCGATAGCATTTCCGACGGAATCCGCGATGAACAGCACTGCGTTCATAGTAACACGTTTAGTGTGTCCCGCTGTCGTTTGCGTAACCCACGAATATCCAAGCGGGGCTCCCACTCCACCAAATCCAACGATGTACTCGCTTATCAGCAAGCCAACCTTGTCTGACCATGGCAGCGTGCTAACTAGGATGGACCCAATCACCGTTGGTATGTAGTACGAAGCTCCAACGTATGCAATGCTGTTGAAGTACGTGGCGAGCGCCACTCCTGACAGAGCTGAGGTAATCTTAATTCCTCTGAATTTGATACAACGTCAATTAGGCGAAAATAGTACCAACTCAATTGAGCCGTACCCGGTAGCACAACTAAGCAGTGTGGTCTGCAACTCAGTGAAACCGAAAGACTTGATGATAAGGCTGTTCTGGTTCGTGAGGGAGTTGGGAACATTACGAATTCCAGCGTAGAGTGCGAATATCCACGTCTTTGGGTCTGTGAGGCACTCAATCATCCTAAAAGTCAAATCAATTAAGCAGTAAATATCAGGGAAAATAATAATATTGTTTACTGCTCTTTCTTGAAGTGTTTATTCTCGACACCTGTTTGGTTTGCTTTGATGCGATTTACGGCGATCACGCGTTCTTCGGGAGTGAGGAACCATGCCGTTGTCGGTGAGTCCGGGAAAAGGAACCTTTACAAGTTATGCCGGTACGATTAAGGACGTTTTTGGGCGATATGAAGCAATGCCATCTCACCAATAGCAAACCGCGGCGACAATAGTTATTATCCCGCAAATAATCATTAGCCATTTCCAAGGCTCAAAATTCGCTGTTGTGATATGCAACGCTCCGAAAGCGAGAAAACCAGTTGTAATCTCCGCAACGCCGTTCATCAGGACTACAGGCGAGTTGATAGATGATCGGATAAAAACACAAGAAGAGAACCTACACCAATAGCCGATACGGAGCGTTATCTCTCTGCGTGTATAGAACATGGCACTGACAATCATGAACCCAGTGGCGACACATGCCTCACACGCGCCAAGCTGGACATGTATTAGGATCAAATCTTTCAGGTAGTGGCGCAACTCACAATAAGGCGCACGACGAAAAGGCCATCGAAATTCTTGCAAGCTGCATGAAGACATAAAGTAACGCCCCAAACGAAAATGTTTGCACTTGTTTCCAGTGACGTGAATTAGTATTGGACCATGCCGTGACATATCAAAGCTTAACTTACCTCAACCACTTGCCGACGGGGAAGCGTTGAAGTGCCAAATTCTGCGGATATTCGAAGACGAGGTAGCTGAGATAGAAGATCGTACTGAGCCAATTGTACTGAGTTGCATTTAGATGCGTGTCCGTCTTAAGACCCAGAACTGCAGAGCTGCCAAGGGTGGTTTTATCCATGAAGGTAATCCAATAGACGACTGCAATGCACCAGATGAGGACGACGTTAGAGACACAAGGTCTTGACGTGTACGTACTGCACATAAGAGGAAGAACATGCAGGTCTATCTTACGTCTACGAATAAAGTTAGCATCCTACTTTGTATTACCAATTAAGCTACAATATACAACGTACCGTACTCTAATGGCATCTTCAGGATCAATCGTATCCTGGATTGAGAATTGCGCAGCTTCATCGACCTCATTCACTGTGGCAGTGGCGCGGTGAGGTTTGTCGTCGCCAGAGGCTGGTTTGTCGCTTAACGACGAGGACTCTATAGAGGATCCCATACTGGACGGGAGTGTTCTAGTATCAGTTGAACAAGATTGTTTATGCCGCATACCTGGATAAAAGGGAGATTCAGCTGAACGGATTGGGGGTACTTGAAAAAGGTTGATGATGCAGCACATCTTGATAAAAGGGAGACTCAGTAGTACAGATTGGTGATGCTTGAGATCTCTTGATTCGCGCTACATGCTGTATCACCAGTGCAGACAGCCCGGGTTCGCGGTGCGGCATAGTGGGGAGGCATCTTTCCTACTTGGGCTTGTCAGGGGCCCTAGAATTTGCAGAAGTCGACCACAAAGGCTCCGCGCTGGTTCGGACTTGGACCATCTGACCTATAAAATCTCTTTCGTTCCTTCATGCCGATTATCTGATGCATGACTTTCGCCGTCCTTGTGGGCGGCACCTTCTAGAGTGTCAACATATAGCATGCCGGTCGCATTGCAGTATGAACTAGTGGCCCTCATGTAAGCGTACTCTTGTGCTTAAGATAGCCAGCAGCTGAAGAAGAGACGCTCAGAAGCAGAATGGCAAAATGGTTTTTGAGTTCAGTTTCGCCTATTGCATGACTACACGCTGAATGGTTGGGAAAGGCTCTCAGCAGAGAGTCAGCACGACCTTTTCTGTCGTACAGACAAGCACGTGACAATCTGGTATTCTGTAATAATTTCTTAAAAGATAACTTGCGTAAGAATAAAATTATTTAAGATTAAAAATTACAAGTTTTATTTGTAATTTGTAAAACCTATGAAGTACTTTTGACATATCGTCACCTACCAAATTTGTAATATCTGGTAATCAGACATGTGAATAAAAATATTAAACTAATTTTGTAATTCTTCTAAAGAAAAAATGTAAAAATATTTTTATTTTATTTTAAATGTAGGCATTCAGTGGCATGCTTGCTAAACGAATTGCATTATTTGGTACGGAAAATTTGCGTGCCTCTATTTGGACTTTTGCTCCCGTTGTATTTAGACACTATTCAGCACCCACTGCAGGTAAATCCTAACAAAAAACATTGTCGAATCGTGCAGCATACAGCACTACTGAGAATCATTTCTTTCGTTGGATGTTTCTGATACTTAGTTTATGAAAGAAATACGCGTGCTAGAGTGCATAACGGAAGTCCCTATTCTGGCGATCGGTAAGATCAAGGAATGCTCTATCGACCCTCTTCTCGATGATGTCTCCATTTTCACCTGTAACCTTGACCCAAACATCATCATAAGTGGTATCTAGTGGTTCGTTATCACGCTTCTTGTTCTCCTCGTTGAGCATATAGCGCTGGACTAAAAGAAGCACAGCGCAGATGACATAGCAAATCGCAATGACAGTCCACGGCACATGAAAACTTGCGATTCGTAAAACAGATCGTTAGATCTAGAGTTCAGTATATGACGTATAGAACATACCGAGGTGCGTATTTCGCTAGCCACATCTGAGGACCAACCGCGTTTCCAATGCAGTTTGCCATGAGCATGATTGCGTTCATTGTGATGCGTTTCGTGTGACCAGCCGTTGTCTGCGCTGCCCAGGCAAGCGACAGTGCGGTAGTAGTAGTACTTAGCTGAGTGAGGTATATGCTTGCGAGCAATCCGCCTTTGTTTGACAATGGAAGCACGTTGACGAGGATGGAACAAATGACGACTGGTACGAGATATGACGCCCCGACGAAGGCAATACTGTCCTTAAGGCTTGCCGCTATGTGTACACCCGTGAATATACCAAATATTTTCACCATCCTGACAAAGCGGGAGAAATAAATGCCAGCCCATAGTTTAAGAAGACAACTTACCCACTGGCGCTACTGAGCAGCGTAGTTTGAAATGTTGTGAAACCAAAGGCTTGAATGAGAATGCTGTTTTGATTGATGAGCGAGTTCGGAATTTCTAGGACAGAGTAAAACAAAAAGAAGATCCAAGTCTTCATTTCTGTAAGGCATTCTATCATTCTTCATGTGATTCAGTGCATGCATTACTAGATAACTCGAGGAATCGCGTACTGTTCTTTCTTGAAATGTTTATTTTCGATGCCAGCCTGGTTCTCCTTAATACGATTCACGGCTATAATGCGTTCCTCGCGAGTCAGAAACCATGCGGACGTCGGAGAATCCGGGAAGAAGAACCTTCAACGGGAATACCATTATACCCCTTAAATTTATAGAAGATACGCTTGAGAACATACCAATAGCAAATTCCAGTAACAAGGGTAATTATGCCGCACATGATCATCAGCCACCTCCAGGGCTCGAATTTTGGAGTATTGATATGCAGTGATCCAAAAGCAAGGAATCCAGTAACGACTTCGGCCGCACCATTCATCAAAACTAAAGCATCATTGATTAGTGATTGCTTCAGATGTGTAAACGACGCTTACACCAATAGCCGTAGCGAGTAATCTGCTCTTTCCGTGTGTAGAACATAGAGCAAACGATCATGAATCCTGCTGTTACGCTCCCTTCACACACGCCAAGCTGTGCTTCTATTAGGCTTGCGAAAGCTTAATGGAAGTTCAATACTTACAATGAAACGCACAACGAAAAGTCCTGCGAAGTTCTGACATGCAGCATGGAAGCACATAGCAATAGCCCAGATAAGGACGTTGATACTAGTTTTTCATACATGGTTAGAGAACAAGGAAGGACATCATCGATTTATCTACTGACCTCATCCACTTTCCGACCGGAAATCGTTGGAATGCCAGACTTTGAGGGTATTCGAAGATTAGATAACTAATGTAGAAAATTGTAGCTAGCCAATTAAATTCCGTTGCGTTCAAGTGAGTGTCTGTCTTGAGGCCGAGAATGGCAGAGCTTCCGAGTGTGGTTTTGTCCATGAACTGGATCAAGTAGAGAACTGGGATATCGTTCATAAGATAACATCGAAGGCGAAGCTACTCTCAAGAAATGCGTACTACACATCAAAGGAAGAATGTGCCAGTCAATCTTGCGCCTAAAACAGACTAAGACTTTATTCCTCTCAGGAAATAACATAGATAGTGTACCGAATTCTGGCCGACTCCGCAGGATCAACAGTGGTCTGGTCAGAAAGCTGGGCAGCTTCGTCAACCTCTCTGTACTCCGCGGTCGTATGGAATCGTTTCTCGTCGTCGAGGGCACCTTTCCCCTCGAGTGACGGCGACTTCTCCGATGAAGAGGTCATGGTCAATCAGGATGGCGCAGTACGGAACGGAAGAAACTGAAGTCCGTACCCTTAAGTATTGGGATATTCGGGACGAAAATGGACAATCGTGAGCTGGAAAGTGCAGATTTGTATTCGGCAAGAAGGAAGTTGCTGCTGAAATGGGAATAAACCCGTGCAAATATGCTGCAGAAGATGGATGCAGAAGTGTGACAGGGAAATGGGGCGACTATTTTAGCGTATTCCTTCGTTTATACATAGTCTCCCTTGTTATGGCACAACACCACCCTCGTCCATGGTAGTACGTGCTCAAAGGAGTAGGTTTCCAGTGGTTCGCTGACGATATTCTCCGCACTGCCGGTTGAGACTGAATTAGACGTGGTGTCTTCATTTTCTTTGCTGCCATCAATCGAGAGATGAGAAAGTTTGGCTGCTGTTATTGAAAGATATTTCAAGAAACTAGGAAGGATTACTTTGTTGCTGAGGGAAATGAAGGAAAACGCGTTTCGCTGGGACGAAACCACTACTGCTGATCCATCCATTTTGGATCATGTGATCGGCATGGGCCTTGCCGCTTGCTGCGCACAGCCAAAATAGACCACGGAAAGCAAAACAGGCCTTCTATCTTTTCTATTAAAAGCCCTTGGATATTTACGACGCGAATCAAGGTACATTGGACATGCTTCGATGAACTGCACGGCTAGAACCTTGAGGCGCTTTTATTGACGTGATACGTTGCAAACCGCGGTTATACCTGCAGGACATGGTGTTTGCGACTAATCCAGTCCGATACAATAAAAACGAGCACCTTACACCATAGTAAGACGATCCATGTACCTGACAGTAATGTGAGCTAACGGTACACGAGTGAGTGCAAATCCAGTGAATCCAATGTCCGGATATACAGACGAAGAAGGCTGCATATGGGTGTGGGACCGCACATCAATAAAACTGGTGTGGCTTCAATGTAAGTAAGCCTGTTCCAAACCGTGCGTCTAAGCGTCCTCTAGTAAAAACTACTATAATTAAAATTATTCTGACCTTCAAATTGTAGATAGTATCAAGGCGCCCCTGCTCCAAGACAGTTCAACCAGTAATACAGCATAATAAAGCAGTCTGACATGTGATAAGCAGAAAGAGGCTACACTGAAGCTACATACACTGCTGACAGTTTGGGAAGTTGTCATGATGTGAGAACAGAGCAAAAATACGAGTGTTTGGCTTTGTCAGGTACACATATTCTCCTTTTTAAAAGTATCAGTAAAGTTTAAGAACTATCAAGATACTGGCGAGTTCCACACACTGTCTGAGCTTTGTTGATGATTCTGAGGGAATGGGGCAATATATGTCCTAATTTACTAGGACCATGCAGTAGTAGCCTTGCATGGTCCTTGCAGTTCTGACTTTACTGTTTTGTATGCATTAAGCCAGATACCACGAGCCTTGTAATAATTTATACAGTGCCACTCATCAGACTTGAATAGTATACCAGAATTTTAAAAGGTATATTGTTAACCAATCAAAGTGAACTGAGACTAATATACTTATATAAGTATAAAACTGCTATTACATTGCACTTTTGTGCAGAGTCTGACAAGGCAATATATGTACATGTAGATAATACAATTGAATATAAGGACCTACCATATACAAAAAATATATGTCTTAGCAATATATTCTAATACATTTTTGTGTTTGTTTTTGTGATGTAACATTCATAATTATGCTGAAATGATATATTATGCTTCCTAAGCTAATACTGGTTCAAGCTCTTCCAGGCACACAAGCATATACATTATTATATACTACAAACTGGCTCATATACATTTATTAAACACTCTCCCTTCCTAGATATATAAGGCACACATGTTAGTAAGTATGTAACTAATATAAAGTACAAATACTGAGTAAAAGATTTAGAAACAAAACATTACATTCTACTAGTCAAAAGTGTTAGTAACAGTGTAGAGGGGACTCAAAGGCTTAGTAAGGGGACTCAGGCTACAACTATCCTACACAACAGAAATACAGAATACAAGTACTAGAACATAGTCAGAACTTGTAGAACAGATGTAGAGAGAGAGTAAGACAAGAGTAGAGTATATAGAGTGAGCCTAAGAGTACAGGACTATCTAGAGTAGACAAGATTAAGACTACAGGACTAGTCTGATCTTGTACACCTATATATACTAAACTATACAAGAGTACTCAGAGAGTATAAGCTATTAAGAATGATGAGCCACAAAGAATGAAAGAAAGGAAGATCAAAGATAAAGGTATAAAGAATGAAGGGATAGACAAAGGGTAAGAGACTATAGAATGAACAAAGAATGAAGGGGTGGTCAAAGGAACAGAATGATGAAGTAAGGAGGGGTAGTAGTAAGAGTCAGTCTACATATAGTTTATAGATAGTGCTCCTAAGGGACAGAAGTTCTGAGTTCTGGTACAGAAGGGTGCAGAACTCTTAAAACTAAAGGTGTAAGAGTAGAGAACTATAACATTACCCTCCCTCTAAAACCAATTGTCCTAATTAGTAAACATTAGACTCAGTCAGCAGCTCAGGCATAGGTCAGAACAGTAGAGCTTGGAAATCTGTAAGGCTGAGTTTGTACAGAGTACTAGGATGATACTAATAAAAGTCTTAGATTGTCTTAAAAGTATAGGTAAGGTTCTTAGTAGGTTCCTAAGTATACTCTTCAACTAGGTACCCTTTCTAGTAAACAAGGAACTTGAGTTTTCTATACACTAGCTTAGTATCTACTATGTACTCTACTTTGTATTCTGGTTTAGAACTAATGAGTTCTGGTAGAGATAGTAGGGGTCTTTGTTGTAAAGGAAAACCTGGATTATAGTACTAAGACAATAGAACCTTATTAAACACTAGGTGTATGTACTTCTATGTTACTAGAAGTTAGAGTTTGTAGACAAAGGTACTAACCTTC